GGAGAGGGTCGATGGAGGGATGGGGGGTCAAGGCAGGCAGGGAGAGGGTCGAGGGAGGGATGGAGGCCAAGGAGGGAGGAGAGGGTCGAGGGAGGGAGGAGGGGTCAAGGCAGGGATGGGGAGTCAATGGGGGTCAATGGAAGGGTGGGGGGTGAGTTCGGGGAGGGGCAGTTGGGGGCGTCAATGGGAGGAGAGTCATAGAGGTCAACGGGGAGATGGAGGGTCAATGAGGGCCACTGGGGGGATGGAGGGTCAATGAGGGCCAATGGGGGATGGGAGGGGTCAAGGATGGAGGAGAGGGTCCATGGAGGAGAGGGTCCATGGAGGAGAGGGTCCATGGAGGGGATGAGGGGTCAATGGAGGAGAGGGTCCATGGAGGGAGAGGGTCCATGGAGGATGGGAGTCCATGGAGGAGAGAGAGAGGTCCATGGAGGGAAAGGGTCAATGGAGGGAGAGGGTCAATGGAGGCAGAGGGTCAATGGAGGGATGGGGAGTCTTTGGGGGTGGAGGGGGCAGGGGGGGTGGAAGGGTCAACTGGGGGGGAGGAGCAACAGGGGTCAACGGGAGGATGGAGGGGCCAATGGGGATGGAGGAGCCAAGGGGGATGGAGGGGCCAATGGGGGATGGAGGGGCCAATGGAGGATGGAGGGGCCAAGGGGGATGGAGGGCCAAGGGGGGATGGAGGGGCCAAGGGGGATGGAGGGGCCAAGGGGGATGGGGGCTCAAGGGAGGGAGGGGTAGAGGAGAGGATCAGTAGGAGAGGAAGGGGTCAAGGGAGGATGGAGGGATGGATGGAGGAGTGGAGGGATGGAGGGAAGGATGGACAGATGGTGGGATGGAGGGAGGATGGAGGGAGGGATGGAAGGAGGACAACGGGGGATGGAGGAGCCTTGGGGGATGGAGGAACACATGGGGGCTTGGAGGGGTCAATGGGGGATGGAGGAGAGCAATGGGGGATGGAGGGTCAATGGGGGATGGAGGAGCAATGGGGGATGGAGGGAGTCAATGGGGGATGGAGGAGCCTTTGGGGGATGGAGGGGTCAATGGGGGATGGAGGAAGCAATGGGGGATGGAGGGGTCAATGGGGGATGGAGGGGTCAATGGGGGATGGAGGGAGCAATGGGGGATGGAGGAGCAATGGGGATGGAGGAGGTTTGGAGGGCTTGGAGGGAGTCAATGGGGATGGAGGGGTCAATGGAGGATGGAGGGAACAATGGAGGGATGGAGGGAGCAATGGGGGGATGGAGGGAGCAATGGGGGATGGAGGGAACGATGGGGGATGGAGGGAGCAATGGGGGGATGGAGGAGCCTGGGGGCTTGGAGGAGCAATGGAGGGATGGAGGGATCAATGGGGGATGGAGGAGCCTATGGGGGAGGGAGGGGCTGTTGGGGGTCTGGAAGGGCGGTTGCCGGACTGGGGGCCTCAGGGGTCTGGGGGTCTCCATGGGGAGAGAGAAGGACGGAGGGTCAGGAGAGGCTCGGGGGCTCAGGAGGGGCTAGAGGGGTCAGGGGGTCCGAGGGGGGAAGGATGGGGGGTGTCATCAGAAGCCCAGGGGACGAACTGGGGGCCATTGGGGGCTGGGGGCGATGGAGGGGCCAGGGGGGTTGATGGGCTGGGGGTGATGGAGGGGCCAGGGGGTTTATGGGGCTGGGGGCGATGGAGGGCCGGGGGAGTGTTTATGGGGCTGGGGGTGATGGAGGACCGGGGAGGTTTATGGGGCTGGGGCCGATGGAGGGGCCGGGGGAGTTGATGGGGCTAGTAGGGCGATGGATGGGATCGGGGGTTTGTGGGGCTGAGGGGGCAATGGAGGGCCGGGGGAGGGTTTATGGGGCTGGGGGCGATGGAGGGTCAGGGGGTTTATGGGGCTGGGGGCGATGGAGGGCCGGGGGAGGTTTATGGGGCTGGGGCGATGGAGGGCCGGGGGTTCATGGGGCTGAGGGCGATGGAGGGGCCGGGGATTTATGGGGCTGGAGGGCGATGGAGGGCCAGGGGGTTTATGGGGCTGGGGCGATGGAGGCGTCGGGGGGTTTATGGGGCTGGGGGCGATGGAGGGCCAGGGGGTTTTATGGGGCTGGGGCCGATGGAGGGCCGGGGGTGTTTATAGGGCTGGGGCGATGGAGGGTCGGGGGGTTTATGGGGCTGGGGGCGATGGAGGGGCCAGGGGTTTTATGGGGCTGCCCTCAGCAGGGGGGCCTGGGGAGGAGAGGGAGCGTCTGGGCCCCTCCCCCTCCAGGCCTTTGGGAACCCCTTCTCCTCCCTCCCTTCTCGGGCGCCCCGGTTTTGGCTCCGCCCCCGGGTCCCTCCCCTCCCGGCTCCGCCGCTGCCAAATTTGGGAGCCGAAGCCGCGGAGCCAAAAATAGCGACGGGGGCTAAAAATAGCGCAGGGGCAGGGCGGCGCGGCCGCCGGGGGCTCTGGGGGCTCGGACACCCCGGGGCCTCTGCGGTGAGGGGGACCCCGGAGGGGCTTCGGGGGATGGAGGGTTTTGGGGGAGACTCCGAAGGGGGTCCGGATTGCAGCAGGAGGGGGAAGGTTCGGGGGTGAGGGGAGGGGGAGCCCTGCTGGGGTCCCCAAGTCTGCCCACCCCCTCCACCCGAATTGCAGGGTCTCCCGAATTCCTGAGTCCCTCCAACCCCGGATCCCCCGAATTCCCAGGTCCCCTCCAAACTCCCGGGTCTCCCTCCCGCCTCCCCCAAATTCCTGGGGTCCCTCAACCCTCCCTCCCCCAAATTCCTGGGGGTCCCCTCAAACCTCCCCTCCCCCTCCCCAAATTCCTGCATCCCCCTCCCCGAACCTTCAGGTGCCCCCTCGAGCTCTGCGCCCCAATTCCTGAGGGCCCCCAAAACACGGGGTGTCCCCAATCCCGGGGTCCCCCACTCCGGGGTCCCCAATTCCGGGGTCCCCAATTCCCAGGATCCCCACTCCTGGGATCCCCAATTCCGGGGTCCCTCAGTGCCCCCATCCCCGGAGGGCCCCAAAGCCCCCTCCCGGGGTCCCCAAAGCCCCAAAGCCCCCGGGTCCGTTTCCTCAGCAACGGCGGAGCCTGCAACATTTTTGGGGGGTCAGGGAAGACCCCGGAGGCGCTGGGGAGGGGCAGGGGAGGAGGAGGAGGAGGAGGAGGAGGGAGAGGAGGAGAAGGATGAGGATGAGGGAGGGAGAGGAGAGGCTGAGGAGGGAGAGAGGATGAGGAGGGAGAGGGAGAAGGATGAGGAGGGAGAGGGAAGATGAAGAGGGAGAGGGAGGCTGAGGAGGGGAACAGGTGGGGAGGAAGGAGGCACAGGGGGAGGATGAGGAGGGACGAAGGTGGAGGAGGATGAGGATGAAGATGGGGAGGGTGAGGATGAAGATGAAGATGGGGTGAAGATGAGGAGGATGGAGAGAAGGAAGGGGACGAAGATGGGGAGGGTGAGGAGGAAGATGAGGAAGAAGGGGATGAAGATGAGGATGAGGAGGAAGGAGATGAAGGACGAGGAGGAGGAGGAAGATGGAGCCAGAAGGGGATGAAGATGAGAAGGAAGGGGATGAAGATGAGGAGGATGAGGAGGAAGATGAGGAGAAAGGGGATGAAGGACGAGGAGGAGGAGGAAGGTGGAGCAGAGGGGGAGGAAGAAGAAGATGAAGATGAGGAGGATGAGGAGGAAGGGGATGAAGGAGGAGGAGGAAGGTGGAGCAGAGGGGGAGGAAGAAGGGGATGAAGATGGGGATGAAGATGGGGATGAAGATGAGGAGGATGAGGAGGAAGGGGATGAAGGATGAGGAGGAGGAGGAAGGTGGAGCAGAGGGGGAGGAAGAAGAGGATGAAGATGGGGAGGATGAGGAGGAAGATGAGGAGGATGAGGAAGAAGGGGATGAAGGAGGAGAAGGAGGAAGGTGGAGCAGAGGGTGACGAAGAAGGGGATGAAGATGGGGGGGATGAGGAGGAAGGGGATGAAGGATGATGAGGAGGAGGAAGGTGGAGCAGAGGGTGAGGAAGAAGAGGATGAAGTGGGGGGGGGAGTGAAGATTGGGGGGAGGAGGAAGAGGAAGGGGGGACACACGGGGGGCAGGAGGGGTCACCAACCATCACCATGGAAACGGGACCCCACCCCGATATCCCCCAAAAACAGGGGGACCCCTAAAGGGACCCAACACCGGGAGACCCCAAAAGGCACCCTGGGGTGCACCCTCCTCCCCTCCCCAAAAAGGGGTCCCAGCACCCGGGTGAGACCCCTCCCCCAAAAAATGAGCTCCTCCTTCCACCGACTCCCAACCCCCCAAAAAGGGGACCCCAAAACTGCCCCTTTATCCGGGGAGCCCCAAAAGGGGTCCCATCACCAGGACAAAAACATTTCCCTTCCTAAAAAAGGGGGGTCCAGAACACTCCCAAAAACCTCAAACAGCCCCAGGTGTTTGGGAGACCCCCTCAAAAATAAAGGACCCCCACAAAACAAATAAAGGACTCCCAAAAATAAAGGACCCTCAAAAAAAAAAGGACCCCCAAAAATAAAGGACCCCTCCAAAAATAAAGGATACCTCTCAAAAATAAAGGAGTCCCCCAAAAATAAAGGAACCCCCAAAAACATAAAGGACCCCCAAAATAAGGGACCCCAACACCACCGAGACCCCCCAAAATAAAGGACCCCCAAAAATAAAGGAACCCCCAAAAATAAAGGACCCTCCCCAAAAATAAAGGACCCCCAAAAATAAAGGACACCCCCCAAAATAAAGGTCCCCCCAACACCACTGAGACCCCCAAAAGGACCCCCAACACCACCAAGACCCCCCAAAAATAAAGGACCCCCAAAAATTAAAGGACCCCCAACACCACTCAAGACCCCCCAAAAATAAAGGACCCCCAAAAATTAAAGGACCCTCAACACTACCAAGACCCCCCAAAAAATGAGGACCCCCAAAAAATTAAAGGACCCCTAACACCACCAAGACCCCCTAAAATAAAGGACCCCCAAAATAAAGGACCTCCCAACACACTCAAGACCCCCCAAATAAACCACCCCCTGAGTCTGTGGGAACGACGCCTTTATTGGGGACCCCCCGAGGGTTTGGGGGGGGGACAGGAGAATCTTGGGGGTCTCCCCGGGGTCTTGGGGGTCTCCCCGAGGTCAGGGGGGGTCTCCCTGAGGTCTGGGGGTGGGGGAGGGGTCATTTCTTCTTGGCCCCCTCGTCCTCCCCCTCCGCAGCCGCGGCCGCCTCGAGCTCCTCCCGGCGCCGGCGCTGGAACTCGGCCACGGCCTGGGGGGTCAAACTGAAGCACAGGGGTTTGGGGTCACAGGGGGTCCAGGGGGTCTTGGGGGCTCTGGGGTCACAGGAACTCGGCCACGGCCTGGGGGTCAAACTGGGGGGTTTGGGGGTCAGGGGGTCTCAGGGGGGTTTGGGGGTCACACGAGGGGGATCAGGGGTTGGGGGTCCCAGGGGGAATTTGGGGGTCCCAGGGGCTTTGGGGGATTTGGGGGTCAGGCTTTGGGGGGCTCTTGGGGGTCAGTCCTGGGTGAGTTGGGTTGAGGGGTCAGAGGAATGGGGGGTCTGGGGGTCCCAGCTCTATGGGGGTACTCAGTGGTATTTTGAGGGTGGGGGTGTTTTGGTGGAGGGTCTCACCCAGAGGTACTTAGGGGTCAGGGGTGCTTTTGGGGGTCAGGGGTGTTTTTGGGAGCTGGGGTGTTTTTGGGGTCAGGGGCTGTTTTGGGGAGGGGTCTCACCCAGGGACATTTAGGAGTCAGGGTGTTTTTGAGGGGTCAGGGTGTTTCTGGGGTCAGGGGTGTTTTAGGGAGTCAGGGTGTGTTTGGGGTGTCAGGAGGTGTTTCTGGGGTCAGGGGCTGTTTTTGGGGAGGGGTCTCACCCAGGGACATTTAGGGGTCAGGGGTGTTTCTGAGGGTCAGGGCTGTTTTTGGGGAGGGTCTCACCCAGGGACATTTAGGGGTCAGGGGGTGTTTCTGGGGTCAGGGGCTGTTTTTGGGGAGGGTCTCACCCAGGGGTATTTAGGGTCAGGGGTGTTTTTGGGGGTCAGGGGTGTTTTGGGAGCTGGGGTGTTTTGGGGGTTGGAGGCTGTTTTGGGGAGGGTCTCACCCAGGGCTATTTAGGGGTCAGGGATGCTTTTGGGGGTCAGGAGGTGCTTTTCGGGTCAGGGGCTGTTTTGGGAGGGTCTCACCCAGGGATATTTAGAGGTCAGGGATGTTTTTTGGGGGTATTTTGGGGGTCAGGGTGTTTCTGGGGTCAGGGGCTGTTTTTGGGGAGGGTCTCACCCAGGGACATTTAGGGTCAGGGATGTTTTTGGGGGTATTTTGGGGTGTCAGGGGTGTTTCTGGGGGTCAGGGGCTGTTTTTTGGGGAGGGGTCTCACCCAGGGATATTTAGGGGTCAGGGGGTGTTTTTGGGGAATGGGGGCTGTTTTTTGGGGAGGGGTCTCACCCAGAGATATTTAGGGGTCAGAGGATGCTTTGGGGTCAGGGGTGTTTTTGGGGGTCAGGGGCTGTTTTTGGGGAGGGGTCTCACCCACCTGGGCACCACGTGCAGGCCGAGGCTGCGGGCGGAGCCCACGAGGGACCCCACGAGGGCGGGCAGGGGGGTCCCACGCAGGGCCACCGAGGGGTCCCTCTGCTTGGCCAGGGCCACCTCGTACAGCTGGGCCAGGGACACCACCCCCACTGCCTCGTGGCCTGGGGGGCAGGGACCACCTGAGACCCCTCCCCATAACCCTGAGACCCCCACTCATAACCCAGGGACCCCCTGAGCCCCCCCCATGGACACCGAGGGGTCCCTCTGCTTGGCCAGGGCCACCTCGTACAGCTGGGCCAGGGACACCACCCCCACTGCCTCGTGGCCTGGGGGGCAGGGACCACCTGAGACCCCTCCCCATAGCCCTGAGACCCCCCCTCATAGCCCTGAGACCCCCCCATGGACACCGAGGGGTCCCTCTGCTTGGCCAGGGCCACCTCGAACAGCTGGGCCAGGGACACCACCCCCACTGCCTCATGGCCTGGGGGGGCAGGGAGTCCCTGAGACCCCTCCCCATAACCCAGGGACCACCTCAGATCCCCCCCATAACTCAGGGACCACCCCTCATAGCCCTGAGAGCCCCTGAGACCCCCTCAGGGCCACCTCGTACAGCTGGGCCAGGGACACCACCCCCACTGCCTCGTGGCCTGGGGGGCAGGGACCACCTGAGACCCCCTGAGACCCCTCCTCATAACCCAGGGACCCCCTGAGACCCCCCCATGGACACCGAGGGGTCCCTCTGCTTGGCCAGGGCCACCTCGTACAGCTGGGCCAGGGACACCACCCCCACTGCCTCGTGGCCTGGGGGGGGGCAGGGACCACCTGAGACCCCTCCCCATAACCCAGGGACCCCTCCCCATAACCCAGGGACACCCCCTGAGACCCCCTGAGACCCCCCCATGGACACCGAGGGGTCCCTCTGCTTGGCCAGGGCCACCTCGTACAGCTGGGCCAGGGACACCACCCCCACTGCCTCATGGCCTGGGGGGCAGGGACCACCTGAGACCCCTCCCCATAAACCAGGGACCACCTGAGACCCCCCCTCATAGCCCTGAGACCCCCCCAGGGACACCGAGGGGTCCCTCTGCTTGGCCAGGACCACCTCGTACAGCTGGGCCAGGGACACCACCCCCACTGCCTCGTGGCCTGGGGGGGGCAGGGACCACCTGAGACCCCTCCCCATAAACCAGGGACCCCCTGAGACCCCCTGAGACCCCCTCATAGCCCTGAGACCCCTGAGACCCCCAGGGCCACCTCGTACAGCTGGGCCAGGGACACCACCCCCACTGCTTCGTGGCCTGGGGGGGACAAAGACCACCTGAGACCCCTCCCCATAAACCAGGGACACCCCCCCATAGCCCTGAGACCCCCCCTCATAGCCCTGAGACCCCCTGAGACCCCCCCAGGGCCACCTCGAACAGCTGGGCCAGGGACACCACCCCCACTGCTTCATGGCCTGGGGGGGGCAGGGACCACCTGAGACCCCCCCATGGACACCGAGGGGTCCCTCTGCTTGGCCAGGGCCACCTCGTACAGCTGGGCCAGGGACACCACCCCCACTGCTTCATGGCCTGGGGGGGGCAGGGACCACCTGAGACCCCCCCTCATAACCCTGAGACCCCCCCTCATAACCCAGGGACCCCCTGAGACCCCCCCTCATAGCCCTGAGACCCCCTGAGACCTCCTGAGACCCCCCCAGGGCCACCTCGTACAGCTGGGCCAGGGACACCACCCCCACTGCTTCATGGCCTGGGAGGGGCAGAGAGTCCCTGAGACCCCTCCCCATAAACCAGGGACCCCCTGAGACCCCCCATCATAACCCAGGGACACCCCCAGGGACACCACCCCCACTGCCTCATGGCCTGGGGGGCAGAGACCACCTGAGACCCCTCCCCATAACCCTGAGATCCCCCCAGGGACACCACGCCCACGGCTTCATGGCCTGGGGGGCAGGGAGTCCCTGAGACCCTCCCTCATAACCTCAGAGACCCCCATCATAATCCTGAGAACCCCCTCATAGCCCAGGGACCCCCCTCATAGCCATAAGACCTCCAGCCCCCCTCACCAGGTCTGGCTGCCCCAGCCTCCAAGCCCCAGGACCCCTAAGCCCCCAGGACCCCCTCACCGGGTCTAGCCGCCCCTTCTCCACTCCGGCCACGGCCTTGAGGAAATACGAGCTGGGGGCCCGATGGTCAGAGAGTACGACCTGTCCGGCTGGGGGGCACGGAGGGTGGGGGTCACTGGGGGTCACAGGGGAGCCTGATGGACAAAGAGTACGACCTGTCCGGCTGGGGGGCACAAAGGATGGGGGGTCATGGGGGTCACTGGGGATGGGGAGAGGTCACAGGGGGTCACAGAGGGGCCCGATGGTCAGAGAGTACGCACCTGTCCGGCTGGGGGCACGGGGGTCAGTGGGGGTCATGGGGGTCACAGGGGATGGGGGGTCACTGGGGGGTCACAGGGGGGCCTGATGGTCAGAGAGTACGACCTGTCCGGCTGGGGGCACGGGGGTCATGGGAGGTCACTGGGGGCCACAGGACATGGGGGTCACAGGGGATGGGGGTCACAGGGGATGGGGGATGGACAAAGAGTACGACCTGTCCGGCTGGGGGCACGGGGGGGTCATGGGGGGTCACTGGGGGTCACAGGACATGGGGGTCAGCAGGGGATGGGGGTCACAGGGGATGGGGGATGGACAAAGAGTACGACCTGTCCGGCTGGGGGGCACGGGGGTCATGGGGGGAGTCACTGGGGGTCACAGGACATGGGGGTCACAGGGGATGGGGGGTCACAGGGGATGGGGATGGACAAAGAGTACGACCTGTCCGGCTGGGGGCACGGGGGTCATGGGGGTCACAGGGGGTCACAGGGGGTCATTGGGGATGGGGTCACAGGGGGTCGTGGGAGGTCACAGGGGGCCCGATGGACAAAGAGTACGACCTGTCCGGCTGGGGGGGCACGGGGGGTCATGGGGGTCATAGGACATGGGGGTCACAGGACATGGGGGTCACAGGACATGGGGGTCACAGGGAATGGGGGATGGACACAGAGTACGACCTGTCCGGCTGGGGGCACGGGGGGTCATGGGGGGTCACTGGGGTCACAGGACATGGGGGTCACAGGGAATGGGGGATGGACACAGAGTACGACCTGTCCGGCTGGGGGGCACGGGGGGTCATGGGGGGTCACTGGGGGTCACAGGACATGGGGGTCACAGGGGATGGGGAGTCTCAGGGGATGGGGATGGACAAAGAGTACTGACCTGTCCGGCTGGGGGCACAGGGGGGTCATGGGAGTCACTGGGGGTCACAGGACATGGGGGTCGCAGGGGATGGGGGGTCAGCAGGGGATGGGGGATGGACAAAGAGTACGACCTGTCCGGCTGGGGGCACGGGGGGTCATGGGGGTCACAGGGGGTCACAGGGGGTCATTGGGGATGGGGTCACAGGGGGTCATGGGAGGTCACAGGGGGCCTGATGGACAAAGAGTACGACCTGTCCGGCTGGGGGCACGAGGGGGTCATGGGGGGTCACAGGACATGGGGGTCACAGGACATGGGGGGTCACAGGACATGGGGGTCACAGGGAATGGGGGATGGACACAGAGTACGACCTGTCCGGCTGGGGGCACAGGGGGTCATGGGGGTCTAGGGGATGGGGGTGTCCCGGGGGTCAGGGGATGGGGTGTCCCGAGGTGGTCCCAAGAGATGGGGATTGTCCTGGGGTCACAGGGGGTCCCAGGAGATGGGGGCGTGTCCCGGGGGTCGCAGGGGGTTACAGGGGGGTGTCAGGGGGTCACAGGGGATGGGGGTGTCCCAGGAGATGAGGGCGGGGTGTCCTGGGGTCAAGCAGGGGGTGTCAGGGGACGGGGATGTCCTGGGTCAAGCAGAGGAGTGGGGTGTCCTGGGGTCATAGGAGATGGGGTGTCCAGGGGGTCCCAAGAGATGGGGATTGTCCCAGGGGTCACAGGGGGTCCCAGGAGATGGGGGTGTCCCAGGAGATGAAGTGGGGGTGTCCTGGGGTCTCCCTCACTCACGTGCACGAGCAGGCGGACCCGCAGCAGGACCCCTGGTTTGACGTCGCGGGTGCGCTCGTTGAAGTCCTGGCAGAAGGCGCCGATCAGGACCCCGCGCTGGGGGACACGGGGAGGGGGTCACACCCAGGGGTCACACCCAGGGGGTCACACCGGGACCCCAAAAGCCCCCAAAGCCCCTGCACCTGCCCCAGGACAGGCCTGAGCAGCGGCCCCGGCAGCAGCCCCCGCGGGGATCACAACACAGGAGGGGTCTCGGGGACCCCCGTGGCCGGGCCGGACCCCGGCAGGGCCCGCGCCGATCGCGCCGATCGCGACATGGCCGAGGGTCACGTGGGCACCGCCGCGAGCCGCGTGACGCGGAAACCGGAGGGGGCAGGGCCAAAGCGCGGGAAACCGGAGGGGCGGGGCTAAAAGCGCGGGGAACCGGAGGGGCGGGGCCAAAAGCGCGCGGAACCGGAGGGGCGGGGCTAAAAGCGCGGGGAACCGGAGGGGCGGGGCCAAAAGCGCGGGGAACCGGAGGGCGGGGCCAAAAGCGAGGGGAAACGGAGGGGCGGGGCTAAAAGTGCGGGGAACCGGAGGGCGGGGCTAAAGTGCGGGGAACCGGAGGGCGGGGCTTGGGGACTAGGGATTCCCCCGGGATTCCCTCCTCCCCGGGGATTTCCCTCCCTCCCCAAACTCACCCGGGGTCCTCCGGTTTCCGGTGGTGGGGGAGAGGGGAGGGGCAGGATGGGGCTGGGGGGAGGGGCGGGGGCAGGGGTCCCGGTGTGGGGGAGGGGCGGTCACGGCCCCTCCCGCCCCCGGCCCTCCCCGCGCCTCGCGGAGCCTCCGCAGCACCTCCTCCCGTGACCCCGCCCTGGGGGTCAGGAGGTCAGGGTCACCAGGGGTCATGGGGGAGGGGGACACATTCCCAACCCCCCTACCCCCAATCCCCCGCGGCCCCCACACAGGACCCCCAGGAACCCCCAATCCCCAAATAACCCCTAGAGCCCCTCACCCCAGAGAGCCCCCAACCCCCCAAACACCCCCACAGACCCCCTCAGCTCCCCCAGACCCCCAAATCCCCCCAAATCCCCCCAGCACAACCAGGACCCCCAGGACCCCCAAGCCCCCAAATAAACCCCCTAGAGCCCCCTCACCCCACAGAGCCCCAACCACCCTCAAACACCCCCCAGACCCCTCAGCCCCCCAAAACTCCTCAGGCCCCCTCAGCTCCCCCAGACCCCCCAGCCCCCCAAATCCCCCCAGATCCCCAGGACCCCTCCCAGCCCCCTCAACCCCCAAATAAACCCCCTAGAGCCCCTCACCCCATGGATCCCCCAACCCCCTCAGCTCCCACAGGACCCCCTCAGGTCCCCCAGACCCCCAAATCCCCCAAATCACCCTCAGGACTCCCCCAGGCCCCCAAATCCCCCAGGACCCCCCAGGACCTCCCCAGCCCCTACAACCCCCCTAGAGCCCCTCACCCCATGGATCCCCAACCACCCTCAGCTCTGACAGGACCCCCTCAAGACCCCCAGGACTCCTTCCAGCTCCCCAAATCCTCCCAGGACCCCCTCAGGCCCCCCGCTCAGCTTCCCCCAGACCCCCAAATCCCCAGGACCCCAACCCCATACAACCCCTAGAGCCCTCACCCCATGGATCCCCAACCCCCTCAGCTCCCACAGGACCCCCTCAGGTCCCCCCAGACCCCCAAATCACCCTCAGGACCCCAGGACCCCCCAGCCCCCAGGACCCCCAGACCCCCAGACCCCCAGGCCCCCACCTGCTGCGGGCCCTCTGCAGGCCGCTCTCAGCACCCGGTCCCGCTCGTCCAGGAAGGCGGCGTGGGCGCCCGCGGGCGTACCTGGAACCCCAAAATGGGGGACCCCAAAAACGGGGGGGACACCCCAAAAATGGGGGACCCAAAACCTGGCACCCCAAAAACGGGGGGGGACACCCCAAAATCAGGGGGGGGGACCCAAAACCTGGCACCCCAAAAACGGGGGGGACCCCAAAATCAGGGGGACCCCAAATCAGAGGGAACCCAAAGTCAGGGGGGACCAAAATCAGGGGGACCCCAAAGCAGGGGGAGACCCCAAAATCAGGGGGGGAACCAAAATCAGGAAGGGGGGTCCCCAAAACCCTCTGGGTCTGCCCCCCCCAAACTCCCCGGCAGCCCTCAGTGTTGGGGTCCCCCTCCCTAAATCCTTTGTGTCCCCCATTGCAGGGACCCCCCCAGACCCCGTGTGTCCCCCCAGTGTGGGGGTCTCCCCACCCCCTGGGTTCTCCCTCCCCTCCCAAATCGTCCCTCCCCATTTGGGGTCCCCCCTCCCCAATGTGGGGGTCTCCTCCCCATTTTGGGGGTCTCACCTGTAGGCCAGGGCGTGCAGGAGCCCCCAGGGTCCCCCTCCC